ATGCCTCTTCAGATGCAGCTTCTGTGTTTCCTCTGCATTACAAAGACTAGTTTTGTTACTGATATCATTTGTTTGGTAACAGCACAAATGTCTTATTATTCTAATTGACTGATTAAATGTAAGAATTTGACTCAACAGATGATGCACACTTTTAGAAAAAATTATTGGAGCAGATTAATTTCTATCACTGCTGTGAACTGACCAGTACACAGAATACGAAGGATATCAAAAACAAGTTTTACACACAGACACACACACACACACACACACACACACACACACACACACACACGTAGTACGTAAAGGGACATTTAAGAGGGTTTATTCTCCAAATAACTAATTTCATGTTGCAGAAAAATGTGTTTAGAAATTGTGTATGGGCTCTTGTTCTTTTTCCAAGTTACCTTCCTGTCCACTGATTTTTGCCTCTTACAAAAGCCACAAAGCCTTCCAAGAAGACAGTATTTGTATTTATATTTTTATTTTATTTATTTTTTATTGATATATTTGTATTTGCATTTTGAATGTAATTTGGCAATTAAATGCATTACATGGGTTTAGTTTTCACGGTTATTAATGTATGCAATTTCAGCAATAAAAATGTTAGGCAAATTTTTCTAAAAAGAAAACAAATTAGTTGTTTATTTTAAGAGACCTATCTTATTATCTCTTATATATTTAGTATTGCTCTTTAATAAAGAAAAAATTATTCTTATCCGATTACTCGATTCATAGATGGAATAATCTATAGAATACTCGATTACTAAAATAATCGATAGCTGCAGCCCTATTTAAGCGTCCATTGAACAACATCCAATAGAACTTTTTTCCTCCAAATTGTTAAATATATGAAATATTGATATACTATCCATAGGTTTATGTCAGAATTATTCTAAACGATCTGCCATTCATCATCGTTCTTCACAAAATTATGCAATCTCAGCACAGTTTATGTTGTAAAACTGTATATTATCATACACATTAGACTCTCGAAAACAAATGAGCCTGCCTCCAAAGTTTTTTTTTTTTTCAAAATAGAGCGGTAGTTTTACTCATAGTATCCAAAGAGTGCCATCAGATTTTGTGACATCTTGAAACGCATAACCTATAATTCACTGTGTACACAGCCTGCCAGGGCCTTTGTGGTAAAATATTGACGGACAAAACTTTTAGTTAATGTGATTTCAACATGTGCGGGATGTTATTACCCAGGCATTGGACATCATGGTGTTTTATGTACAGTTGCCTTGACCATTCAGCAGCAAGTTCTCGTCTGATGCACATGTCGCTGCGAATGTATGTATTGAGACAAATGATTTTTTTTTTTGTATAGACTGAATGCTGCCTGCTGCATGAAAAACTGGCCATCAGTGTAGGATTTGTGTATTAATGGAAAACAATATTGTTTTTGAAGGCTGATTGCTGCCCATCAATGTAGCATAAGTTTATGTAGCAATGTAGCACTTTTAACATTATGAAATAGTTTGTACTTATTTTATATATGGTGGTGGATGAGGAGATCCCACCTCACAATGTAAAGCGCTTTGAGTGCTTAGAAAAGCGCTATATAAATGTATTGAATTATTTGTATTATTATTATTATTATTATTATATAATATGTATTACTATATACTGTATATATATATACAGTATATAGTATACACTGCCGTTTAAAAGTTTGGGATCAGTAAGATTTTTAATGTTTTTAATGGAGTCTCTTGTGCTCATCAAGGCTGTATTTATTTGATCAAAAATAGAGAAAAAAAACTGTAATATTGTGAGATATTATTTAAATTTCTAATATTGGTTTTCTGTTGTAATATACTTTAAAATGTAATTTATTTCTGTGATCAAAGCTGAATTTTCAGCATCATTACTCCAGTCTTCAGTGTCACATGATCCTTCAGAAATCATTATAATATGCTAATTTATTATCAGTGCTGGAAACAGTTGTGCTGCTTCATGTTTTTTTTTTGGAAACTGATACTTTTTTCTGGATTATTTTATGAATACAATTTTAAAAAGAACAGCATTTATTTAAAATTAAAATCTTTTCTAACAATATGAATATTTACTATCACTT